ATTTGTCAATGGCTTACTTAAATCAACAGTTTGCATACATAGTACAACATGGTACACTATACATGGTACACCATATTGGCAAATTCAGACACGTGCTTCGCCGATTTTTGATCACTGCATGGCACACGTCATAAATGGGTTATCCAGGGTTTTACTTTTGCCTTCTGATAGAGACTCCAGTTTTTGAATTGCTGGTTAGTACTTTCTCTAATAATTAATCTGTGCAAACAGTCATCAACATTCTTCGTAGACATCTTTCTGGAGCGCAATTCGTAAATAAAAGCACCCATACCTACATGATAGCCACTGAATTTCGTTGAGGAGGAGACTTCAATTACCTATCGACCTCAGAAATAGTGCATTCAGAACTATGCTTAACTCATTTATTTTCTTCGACAACGCTTTTCATAGAAGTTAGTCTATTTACCCCAACAATGATGGAGTGAAGAATGATCGCAGATCGTCATCTACACCTTGAATGCATAATGTAGGCAGACCTCGATTGATGAGGTCTAATATAGTGGCAACTAGGCATATATCGATTAGTTAGAGAACACACTCGTCCGTACATGGTGCCTTTGCAGCTGACACTCGAGCCTACGCCAAAAGGCGCCTAATGATATAGGCAGAAGGGCATTCCGGACAAAGACAAGGGAGACTAGGATGGCCATTTCTGGGTTATTAGCCGTTGTGAGCCAGTCACACCCAGACCCAAGTGGTGTCCCACCCGAGCCTCGAACTCGTGACCTCTTTGATCAGAGTCAAACGCCCTAACCACTGAGCTTGTTGTCTTGCCAGTTTTTGATCGGAAGTCCAATTACGAATGGATATGAGGATAACATCTGATACTTAAACAATTGAGTGCCTAGACGAACATACAGAGACTATAGGGGTGCACTTTAATATGGATTGTAATATATGACAATTGTTTATGCTGGCACCGTTCTCACAGACCTAACGAACAGTATTCAACAATGACTTTGGGTTGGTTTGTGGAGTTGCCATGTTCACGGCAGCGAGTGTGGTTCGGGAGTTGATTTCAAAAGAGAGTTGCTGCTTTTCATTTTAACCGAAAGTAGAAACATGTACACGATAACTGAATTTATGCCTGACAAAGATAGACACAGGAACTAAATAGAACGCCCATAAGACTTTTAAACGACGCCTCCGCAAACAATGAAGCTGCATTGTTCCTGGTGGTTTGATTTTAGCCGCGTACCGTCCCCATTTGAGGATTAAACGCAGCAATGGGAACGTTTTTAGACAGATCTATCCACGAGTCAAGGCGGAATGAATTCCGCTCATTTATTGCCCATCTATAAGCCCATAATGACTGGGTAGAATAACCGCTTACGTCAGGCGTTCAAGAGCCGCTTTTGTGTTCTAATTCGGTACTAACTATCTCCACTCCAGCTCGTGATAGCAAAGAGATAATCAGCGCTTCAGGTCCGCCCGCGTCGCTATTATTAGTAGCAAGTAGCTTCTTCTTTTGCCCATCTTGTTTAATTTGGATAATCTTAGAAAAGTATGATTTTTCCTTTGCAGTTTAGCAACTGGATTTTTTACATGTACAATAGAGAACCTGCCACCCATGATGTTTGAAAATAATTTTGTGAATTATGAACAGTATACAGATTAGGCCAAAGTCAAATTGGAGAGCTTGTGGCATGGTATGAAATCCAAAGGCAACGAGGCCACCACATATCTAACGAAATGAGAGCAACAAGGGGGAATGCGCGCGATTTACTTGCTAGTGAGGCATGTGAGGAGCCATTCTAACCGAACGTCGCTCCTGGCGACTCCCTCCCACGTCACACTATGGATCCGCAGACGTACAATGCACGTGATCATAATGCGAAAGCTGTCGCCAGGATTAGGACTATGGAATGCCAGTCGGATGAATCAGAAAGCGAGTCGAGCTGATGCCCTTTCAAGGACACCATCTGATTGGTCCAACTGCAGTCTGATTTTGTACACATGCCTTGCTGGCCTTTAAAAAGTACGCTTTTGGCATACGCACACCTATTCTTCTGCCCTGGCTGGGGAATTCTCCCTTGGGGATTCGCTCGAGCCGTTGTTGGACGGATGAACATCGGAGCTTGTGACAATTTTATAACAAGACAGACGTGGACAGGGTGTAATACGTAATAATTCAATACTTTAACTGCCGAAGCTAAGCATAGACGCACTAACTGACGAAGTTAAGCACTCTGTCACGCTAAAATACTCACGATGACGAAAATGGTACCCAGTCAGTTGGCATAAACTCAGGCC